CTTTTTCGAGTGGTGACCCCCCTATTATAAAAAAGTAAGTGACCCGCGAACCCCATAGAATTAAAAAGCCGATATTAATATGGAAATTAGTAAGCACTAAAATAAGATTTTCTATTTATTTTATCCTGGACAGTCTGCTCAAATACTGGACTGTCCAGTTCAAAACTGGACACCTGGCAACCCTAATTGCTATTTAACATCTACGGAAATGTCTGCTATAACAAACATGCTGGGTTTGATGAGACTTTCTCCTATTGTGTTTTTTTTTTTTTTTTGCTTGGCATTTTCTATCGTGACTTTATTTGATGCTTGCACTAATGCTGTGTTTCCTTGGTGAAAACTTCCTGTTCAATCAAGTCTCTGACGTTTGCATCTAGCTTCACGCGGACGAAAGAACTCCTTATCTTTTTGTGTGTGTTCCGAATGACTCGTCTCAACTGACGTTTTAGTTTTTGAAGATTTCATAAACTCGTGACTGAGAACAACTTTGTACAGTACGCATTGCTTCTTCTCTATTCCATTTCCAGTGATGTTAATAAAGCCGAATTTCAGATTTTCTAAATATGTATGTTTTGTTTCTCATTGATAAGGTTTACAATGCCAGTTGCCGACCCCCCCCCCCCCAGAAAGCCCTTCGCGACCCCTAGTTAGGGAACCCGTGTTATATAACGATCTCACCAGGACACTCCTGTAACCGTGTCTCCCCCCCCCCCCCTCACAAACGATCTCACCATGACACTCCTGTAATCGTGTCTTCCCCCCCCCCCCCCACTCACAAAAGATCTCACCAGGACACTCCTGTAACCGTGTCTCCCCCCCCCCCCACTCACAAACGATCTCACCATGACACTCCTGTAATCGTGTCTTCCCCCCCCCCCAACTCACATACGATCTCACCATGACACTCCTGTAACCGTGTCTCCCCCCCCCCCCCACTCACAAAAGATCTCACCATGACACTCCTGTAACCGTGCCCCCCCCCTCACAAACGATCTCACCATGACACTCCTGTAATCGTGTCTTCCCCCCCCCCCCCCACTCACAAAAGATCTCACCATGACACTCCTGTAACCGTGCCCCCCCCTCACAAACGATCTCACCATGACACTCCTGTAATCGTGTCTTCCCCCCCCCCCCACTCACAAACGATCTCACCAGGCCACGTTGTGTTTTTCCGAAAGAGGATGCAGTCTATCTACACCTCCTTCTGGACTAATCTGGGATGACATTTTCAAATCATTTCTGGCCAATGTATTTTAATATGTATTTTAATGAAATACTTGTTAAGCACAAGAGCTTATTTGTTGATGCCTGGATTATCCTCTGAGTCACATAATTAGCCAAAGAGCTTAGTGCTGATGATTCTGAGTTTGGTATTTCTTCGACAAAACAACAGTCGAATGCAAGCCGCGAATTGGGATGAATCGGACCACGCCGTGAGAAAGGAGGATGTCAATATCCCGAGGCAAGTGTTAGACCGAAACCCCCGAGAGAAAAGTAGTCTGGCTAAAGCAACCCTGGGAAGGACAGTGGAAGGATAAGCAAGGATTTGTGCTTTCGTGGGCTCAACTATAGAGAGCCGGCCAAGACTGGCGCAGAGATGTAGCTGCAGCCCATTTCTCCTGTGTGTCAAAGTAATTACAAAGTTGTATTCCGCGTGATTAGCGCAACGGAAGAGAAAAAAAATTGAGTGGATAGATCTAGACTTATTGTACTACCGGCTTTTTAAAAATGTGCCTACACAAACCAGAGGCGTAGCGACCCTCCCTGGCGCCCGGAGACAAACTTTTCGATTTGCACCCCGCTCAAGATTTCGATTTGCACCCCCCCCCCCCCCAAGATTTCGATTTGCTCCCACCCCCCCCCCCCCCTCAAACTTTCAATTTGCACTCCCTCAACCTTTCAATTTATTTTTTCAACCCATTTTGGCGCCCCCTAAGGTCGGCGCCCGGGGACATATGTCCCCGCCCCCCCCCCTCCTCGCTACGCTACTGACACAAACCAGAATGGCAATAGTAACTGTCGAATGACCTTAACTTTAGACAGTCAAAACTAAGACAAAATTCGTATTTTATACACCTTTATCTATAGACTAAAAATTAGAGTAGTAGAAAACTTTTGACTCCTATAACTGCGAAGTTTCTAGTTAAACTATCAACTAAAGCGAAAGGAATGCGAAAACAAATTTAAAAACGGTAACTAGACCGAGCACCCCTTTTCGTCTGGAAATAGGCCAAGCTTGTTCCATACTTGGTAAGGCATTCGGCCCGGAAAGGGTTCGCAGGTTGAGAGCGACCAGATAAAATTGAGCGAGAGAAATGAATGAGTCACGGTTTTTTCTTTTTTATTCAAAAGGGGTTTTCCGGTGTCTAGACGGTGAAGGGTGAGGAATCGGGTGGTAGTATTTTTGTCCTACTATGCACTGATAACTAAACCAACAATCCAATACTACCCCATTGAAGAAAGATTTAGGTCTAGATAAACCATTAATAATTACTTA